CCTCAGAAACAAGAACGGCATTGACGAGGGTGAGTGACAGCACTCATGACACAATTCCCGTGCAGTCACTGACGGGCAGGGCCCTGCGGCGCAGGCCAGGGAGAAGTGGTGGAGGCCGCGCTGCAGAAGGCCCAGGCTCTACATGCCCCTCTCCCCCTCTCCGGCGCAGCAGAGGGGTGCGCAGAAATGCCCTCCACACTCCACAAATGAATGCTCCAACTGTTCCACACAGGCCGCCTGGGACATCATCCAGGCACTACTTCTGAATTACCAAATCCCAAAAGAAGTTCAGAAATCTCTTTTCAAATCAGCAGAAATAGGATGGGGGGTGGAGATTACTGTGTGCAACCTCTACGATGGTTTTTTTTTTTTTTTTTTAAAGATCTTATTTATTTGACAGAGAAAGACACTGTGAGAGCAGAAACACAAGCAGGGGGAGTGTGAGAGGGAGAAGCAGGCTTCCCGCGGAGCAGGGAGCCCAATGCGGGGCTCGATCCCAAGACCCTGGGATCATGACCTGAGCCGAAGGCAGACGCTTAACGACTGAGACGATTAACCACTGACTCCAACCAGCAACACCTGACACGCAGCACCTCACTCACACCTCGTAATCACATGGTGAGAGAGGAGCTGATACCCACTCCACAAGTAGTGTGCCGTCCCGAGGGCCTGGGCCACTCTGGCTGCGTCCAAAGCCCATGCTCCTAACCACTAGCCTCCTGACCTGCCACTCAGAAGAAGCATTTCCAGGGAGCCTGGGTGGCTCAGTTGGTTAAGCGCCCGCCTTTGGCTCAGGTCATGATCCCAGCATCCTGGGATCGAGTCCTGCATCGGGCTCCTTGCTCAGCGGGGAGTCTGCTTCTCCCTCTCCCTCTGCCTGCCACTCCCCCTGCTTGTGCTCTGTCAAATAAAAAAATATTAAAAAAAAAAAAGCATTTCCAGAGGACAGAGAAACACAACATTTGGATGTATACCTTATATGAAGATGTCTTAAGGTGGATTCAAATGTAGAGATGAAAGAGTCTTAGGACACCAAGCAAAATCCCACAGAAAGAGTGCCCTACGGATAGAGCAGGGATTGATGAAGGACCAGAGAGTAAACATTTGGGGCTAAGTCCCTGTGGCAACTACTCAGTTCTCGCCATTATAGTGCAAAAATAGCCACAGACAACAAACAAAGGGGTGAGGAAGGTTCCAAACACTTTACCTCTAAAAAAAGGAGGGTCGGCCAAGGTGAGCTTGCTGCCCAGGCCTTAGACCATGGGAGTCCCGTGGAATTGTTGAGTCAAGGAGAGACACGACCTGACTGATGAGTATTTTAGACTGAATTATGGGGACTACCAAAGGATGGAATCAGGGTGCTTTAGATGTCCTCTACAATCCTGGTTTTACCATGCTTCTGTTATCCCAGTTGTTATGAACAAATGGGAGTGGTTCTGTTTCAATCAATGTTTATTTATGCAACCTGACAGAGGTTCAAATTTGACCCACAGGTCACAGTTTGCTGAACTCTTCTGCTCTAGGATCTCAAGTCAGGGATTCTAAAAAATCAGTAATAATCTGAAGTCAGCTACTAGGATTCTTCAAATACCTGCCCCAGCTACTGAAGACACATTTATAGCATCCTAAGAGGCTCTGATTATGCCAAATGGGGATGGGAGAAAGAAGGTGTTTTCTCTCTCTCTCTCTCTCTCTTTTTTGGTCTAATAATGGGATTGACTCAGAGCAGACACAGATCCCAGCCATACAGGATCAGCTCTTTGCTCTCTCAGGGCAGGCATCTAGGCATGCTCTGTACATGGGCTGGCTGTGACAGAAAAAGAGATTGCAAACCACTGGCTCAAGCACCTTCATCCCCACTGTGCCAGCCCAACTAAACCACTGAATATCCTGTGGTCTTTGCATCTCCTGACATCAACCACCAGAGCAGAGCTACCTGGCTGTTGACATGCTCACCCCTGGTACCGATCGACTCCAGGGGAAGCACACACCGTCAGAAAGGCTCTCCAGCTTCCCATGACTGGCCCTGGACCATATCATCTTGCTCAATTCCAGTCGCTGGTGCCCAAAACTGAGAAATGGAGGCCAGGCTGACAAATTTTTAATACCAAAAACTAGCAACCTGCTTGGGAACATCCCTAAGAAGATGCTGTTTGTGTTTTCGGTTTCACTCTTAGTGTGGCAGTCCTCCAAGGTGGAGGGGAGGCAATTTTGCACCCCACCCCCCATGTCTGGACACATTTTTGATGGTCACAACTAGGGGGGTGCTACTGGCATCTGGGGGTGCTACTGGCATCTAGGGGTACAGGCGCCAGAGATGTTGCTCAGCATCCTACAGCACATGAACAGTCCCCACAACAAAGATTTATCTAGCCCCAAATGCCAAGAGTGCCGACATGACAAACCCTGTTTTAGTGGGATTTCGCCACGTGATGGTCCCAGTGCGTCAAGCACATATGCACAGCCCAATTAAATTCCACAGACTCAGCCCCAAAGAGCACTTTGATTGACATGCTGAGTCGATGAGATGCAAGAGAAAAGCAGCAGCGTGTGTTACATCTGCCGACGGGGCCTGTTGGGTTGTTTCTTTGCTGTTTTTGAGAAAAAGAAGAATGACTTTGCTAAGGTTCACCTGTGAAAGGAGGAAGCTGGAACCCAGTTTTGTAGTTCCTCTGAGCTCCAAACTCCTACGTGGTGGCCAAAATTCTAACAGACTACTCTGGGGTTCTGCTAACTTTCTACAGCATATAGTGTCTGCAGGGTTGAAAGCTAATACCACATCACTGCTCCTGAGAACGTCAAGGAAGCCTAGCCTAGGAGATGTTCGGCAGAAAAAAGGAAATACGAACACTCAAAACAACTAGGAAAACTTAAAGTCTACAAGTTTACCGTTTGTGGGGTTTCTTCTTTCCCCTGGAAAAGGTTTGACAGACTGAGATCAACAGAAGGAGGAAATTACTAACAGACTACTCCTCTCTCTCCCAAAATATTTAACATGGAACGTACAGAACCAGAAACTTAAAAATGGCATCTATTTTACTGGTTATATTTACTTGTTGCACATGAGTGACATTAATGGTGACAGTTTCATTTATTCTTTCTGATGGTTTATCTATGGTATTTGAGAAATATTACAGAAGACTGAAGTCAATGAGTAATTTTCAAACGCACCCTCTAAAAAACTACTTGGTTGTTTTTCAGTGTGGGTCCTCAAATTGGAGTCTCATTTTTTAATCCATCAGATCGAAAAAAGAGGGGGGACATTTATTTAGACATGTTGAAAGCCAATGCCTATAGACACCACCAAATCGAATAGAAGCAGACAAGTATGATCATTCCAACAGTAGGCTCTGAAAAAGAATTTCCACATCGTGTGTTAAAAGCAACCATTTTCAGGGTGCCTGGGTGGCTCAGTCGGTTAAATGTCCGACTCTTGGTTTCAGCTCAGGTCACGATCTCAGGGTCATGAGATCGAGCCCCATGTTGGGCTCCTCTCTGGGCCCGGGGCCTGCTTAAGACTCTCTCCATCCCCTTTGTTCCCCTCCCCACCCCACCTCTCTTAAAAAAAAATTTAAAAAAAAGCAACCATTTTCTCCTTACCAAAAATTTATATATGAAATTTAAAAGTAACCAAATTTCCTGAATCCTTTCAAAAACAACAAAAAAAAATTATGTAAAACTAAGTATGATTTCCTGCATTTCAACTCAAGCTTCCAACTGCTACTGATCATTTTCTGGAAAACACCATATGAACTCCATATACTTCAGAGTCCATGACTGATAGGTCACAAGGTGGAACACCACCATTTTCCACCTCAACCAACCCCTTTTTTGCATCTCATTTATATTACACCTCAGGGTCCCAAACCCTGAGGCCACTAAGGTCTCTGTTCAGTGACTAGACTTGTCAGTGAGCAACAGGACAGGCCATCTTCTATGCATTAAGTCCTTGGTCATTACAGGAGAGCTGGGAGGTGGGTTCCCCACAACACAGTAGGATCCAAATTTCATCTACAATTTCTGTTTTGTATTTGTGAATCTATGCTTTTTAAAGTATTTTGCATATATACGTATATTTTTGTGTGCCTATATAAGACAGCAGAAAGTATACACTGAGGTGTTAATTATGGTTATTTCCTAGAGTAGTAGATTTATATGTGATTTTTCTTTATTCTTGGGGGTTTTATTTTCTGCACGTCTATAGCTTCCAACTTTTTCTATATTAAGCATAACTTTTGCCAAAAGAAAAATAATATTCTGTATGTATTTTTTTTTTTTCTCCACTCAACCTCATTTCTAAAACAGTTTTAGGTACCTGACAAAAAAAACCCAAAACACAAAAAAAACATGTACAGTAAGACTTCTTTCAAAGTCAGGGCAATTAGAGACAAGGGCAAGAAACAAGAGCAGTCAACTCTCAAGAAGCCAAAGAGGAAAGCTATTAGCCAGCACGTAATCGCTAGTGTTCTACGTCCTGGCTGGAGGGAGACACACACTTGGCTTGGAGTTTCTCCCCACCCGCCTTACCTCACCCTGCCCACCGCCCCCCCCCGCCCCAGTCCTCATTCCTCCCCACATTCCTCCCCACCCTCCTTACCTCACCCCACCCCACCTTAATTAAGTTTTGTTTAGGGAAAGATAATGAGAATATTTTTCTACATTCCCTGATCATACTCCCAGATGAGATCATGCAATCCAGAAATGTGTTGAGGGAAGAAGACCTAGCTGCAAATCCAACCAAGAGCTCTAATAACTGTTCTGCCCCTCCTGCTCCTGGGGCTGGGTGTTAGTCCCTGGGCACAAGAGCTCAGAGGCTCCCCAAGGGCATGGCTTTAACTTTCTAGAAGTGTCCCTCTGCGTGCAACTCACTGCCGCAAAGGTAGTGGCAAAAGATGCACTCAATCCATGACAAAACCAAGGCGGCGAGGCTCTGGGGTCCGTTCAAGGCAAAGCCACACTCCACAAAGAAGCCGCAGGAGCCCCAGTAGCCCGGCGCTTACCGTACGCTGTCATGACGCCGGCGTACGGCCCATCCACCACATTCCGATTTTCCTCTGCCAGCGCCTTGATGTACCTCTTGCTGAGGTCCAGGATCTGCTCGCGCAGCATGGAGCTGCTCTCGGGCTGAGTTCGCTGCTGGATGGTAAAATGCAGGAGCATCATACCCCAGATGAAGCCAAAAGTCACAAGAAAAAAGCCCAGCTTCTGAGAGGACAGCTTCCACGGAGTAAAGAGAGCCATTGCTCTCCAGCAACTTCACCTGCCCTTGGCTCCTAAAACGTAGAAGGAGGACACAAGTTCATGGTGCAGGCTGGATTTGTGGGCTCGTTGGGTCTCACTCTGGCTCCTGCGTCAGCCGATTTCCTTTCCTCGTTTCCATCCTGCTGTGAAGAAGGGGGCAAGTTAGCAGAGTGGTCGTGGCAAAACACACGAAACCAACCAGGAGCCATGTTTTCACTCAAAAAGCTCCAAAATGCGAACTTCCTTTTTTCTTAATTTGCTGGTTCAATATCTTATGTTATGATTCCAGATCTGTAAGCTGAGAGGGGAAATCTGGCTAGGCGACAAAAAAGCTGCACAAATACAGAGGAGGAAATGTGTGTCTGCCTATGTTAACAGGTGTAGCAGGGCTGTTCCAGTCTGGACCAAGTTCAAAACAGGAAGCTTGCTTTGCAAGGTGGGGAGGAGATGGAAGGCTATTTCACTGAATGTCAGCAAAAACCCAAGTGGAGGGCGGAGTCATAGCACCACCAGGTACTTCGGTGCATCTGTAACTTGAGCTTACAAAGTCATTAGTATGTGCTCTGGGGCAAGGATTAGCGCATGCAGCTGGGGAGGTGAGCAAGAGAGTAGGCGTCTCCTGAGGGGTGATTAGACCAGGAAAGGGGAGCAAGCCCCCATACTATGTAAGCATGGGCAGCTTGCATTAGCAGTATCCAGAGAGAGATGAGCCAAAGCTCTCAGGGCCACCAGGCGGCCTCAACCCAGGTACCAGTGCATACCAGAGGCTATGCCAGGGAAACCCAGCGGTCTTCCTGTTTGAGCCGCCATGAGTGAAAGAGGTACTTCACCACTCATTTGCACATTTAGCACAGGAAACGTGGGCACATGATAGCCTTTCCTGTAGTTCTCACTTTCACTCACACTGTGGGCAAAATGGGAGGTTAGAAGGCACAAAGGCACAGTTTCAATACTCATCAGCCAGATCCTACTGGGTGCCCTATTTGGGCCAAGGTCTTAAAGCAAGTCTTCCCAAAACATAAGGCCAAAGCAGAGGTTGTAAATGGGTTCCAAGTAGGCCAAATTCTCTACTCCCTGAACCAGAGTCCTGGGTCCAACAACCAGCCAGGTCACAAATGGCACCATTTTCTAAGTGTGCCAGGGGAAAAGCTGAGCAATGGTCTCCAAGCAGGACTATTCAGAGGGTGCATATGTTTTCATTCTAAGTATTCTTCCTTGTAAGCAGCCTAAGAAGGAACGATGGCGAGATCTTAGAGCAATTATCTTTCAGAATCTGTAACGCGGCCGATCTGCATTGGTCTTCCTCTCTGTTTTCCTCACCTATGAACGGCCAACAGTGGTTGGTAGTAGTGCTACGAATAGTAAATGCTAAATAAATTCTAGGTATGTCCCAGGCATTGTGCTAAATGCATTTTGTGCCTTAGCTCACTGAATTCTTAGAGTCCTCGATGGTAAGAACTACTACTATCATTCTGTTTTATAGATGGGAAACAAAGGCCCAGAGAGATTAACTTACCCAAAGTCAGCCAGCTATGGGGCAGAGGGGTAATCTCGGGACAGCCAAGAACTCTGTACACCATGCCCTGCCTTCCCTACACCACCCATCTTTCCCCACCAGCCTTCTTATCGATGGCCAACATGTGTGTGTGTTCAAGCTTCAAGGGTTGTAAAAAGCAACAAAGAAGAAAATGTGACAGAAATCCTATGTAGCTCAAAAGCCTAAAACACTTATTATTGGCCTTTAACAGAAAAAGATCACCGACACCTCACCTGAATTCTAGGCCAGTGGCCCTTCAAAGCACGGTCCCAAACTCCACAGCAGAAGCATCAGGGAGAAATGCGGTCTCAGGCCCCAACCCAGACCGACTTAAATCAGCAACTCTGGGGGGTCGGGGGCAGGCAGCCACCTGTGCTCCAAAAAACCTTCCAGGTGATTCTGATGCCTGCCCCAGTCTGAGCACCGCTGAGCCAGGCCCACAGATGTCGTCACCATGGCAATACCAACGTGCCGTCTATACAGCGTGGTTCTAAGTCCCTCCTGCAATACCATGTCACTGCAATTCCTCCGGCCGGCCGCACCCTCCGCACCTGCTGGTCAGCTGTCACCATAACCCTGCACATCCTTCTTCATGGTCTCCCTGTGCTCACTCATGCTGCTTTCCCTACCTGGCTGGCCCTCTGCAGATCACACGGATCATCCAAACCCAGCCTGTTCCCCAAGCCCCAGCTCCACTCACTCTGGCTCCAGACAGCTTCCCTACTGCTGTGGCTTATGATGTCCCTTACTAGTCCGCAGTTTAAAACACCTGTCTATATAGATTGTCTGCCAGTTTCTGTGTGGGATCCCATGACATCCTATAAGGGAGCCCCCTGCCCCCCAGCCCACCACCACCACGTACATTCTCCGAGAAAGACGTCGGCCCCAGGGACACAATGAACCACCTGTTGACGAAGCAACGTGTCCTCCAGGCACTAGAGCTCTTTACTGGGCCCTTCCAAATGAGGGCTCCGTGAGCAGCACCTGCTCCTCTTTCTTTCCTCCACTCATTCTATAGCATATACTGAGCCCTTGCTGCCATCGGGCTCTGGAGACTCAACAAACAGCCCCTCGTGGGGCTGATGCTTTAAAGCCACCAAGAGAGGTGGCTTTAAAGCTGGGGGCTGCCCCTGGGTCCTTAGGAAGTGGCTATGCTTCCTGTTCGATAATCCACACCAGTGAGTCAACTATACCCCAGGGCCAAAGGGATTTTCCCAGGGCAAGTAAATTAGACACTATACTAAAAATGACAGTGGGCAATTTTCTTTTACTACTTTAAGGGAGAACCCCAAATGCATACAGGAATTACCTGTTAACTTTCAGACAGGAAACTCCACTCCACTTTGTCATTTAACCCCCTGAAGCAGCTGTTCAAGGCTGCAAGGTTGAAGCAAGGGCAGGGCCAGGTCCAAGGGCCTCAGCAGAAGGTGGTGTGCTTCTCTGCCTTGGCCTTGGGGACACTCAGAACCACCCACAGATGGCACATCTGAGTGGCAAGAAGATGTCGAGAAACCCAGCCAAGCTTAAGTTCTACCAGCTCAGAGACTTACAAATTTGGAGTGAAAAGCCCTCATTCCAAGTTCAGAGAATGGTTCTGATGACTGAGGGCCCAGATTTTAAGTAACCACAGAACTGCCAGGAATGTTCTTTTCTCCCATGGAATCTACGGTGTGAAAGAGCAGCAGCTATCTCAGCATACCCACAGCTCACATGGAGAACGGAATTAGAACTCATCTCTACAATTCCTAGTAACAGAATTTTAAAAGACTTTTCAAAACCATCACCTGGGACACGCCCCAAACTCCCACAGTAATAGCGTGGGGGGCAGGGGGGGCAAAAGGACAGTAACCCTCACCAGAAGGTGCTTAATGATCAGAAGGGACTTAAGGATCATCATCAGTGATGGCGCCAAAATTCATCAGGAGGCTGCAGAACAACAGTGATCAAAAAGCGGTGGATCTGGCTAAGAATCTGCCTGCGTCCAGACTTAGTTGGATCCTCTTGCAAAATGGAGCCGATAGGCACAAAAACAGTCTCTCTCAGAAGGCCTTGTTGCCCACCAGAGCAATGCCAGCCTGAGCCATGATGCCGTCTGTCCTCCAGAAAGAAGTCTGCACCAAGTCTGTCGGCGATGAGCTAAGCTTCTAGGCCCCCCGCTGCCACTAAGCACCCTCATCCACACCTCCTCTATTCCTGTACTTCCTAAAAGAGCATCATTCACTTCCCTCCTCCCCATTCACTCCTCAACACAATAAAACCTGGCATCCCCCTTTCCAGAACTGATCGAAGATCTTTGGCACGGAAATGTGTCAGTTCTCTTAATTTAAAAAGTAAAAGCGTATGAAAAGATGGGCAACATCATTAGCCATTAGGGAAATGCAAATTAAAACCACAGTGAGATAGCAGTTCATACCCACCCAGATGGCTATACTCAACAAGAGCTCAGAACCAGTGTTGGTGAGGATGTATAGAAATTGGAACCTCTATATACTGGCGGGTGGGAATGTACAATGATGTAGCTGGTGTGGAAAATAGTCTGGTGGTTCCTCAAATGGTTAACCACAGAGTTACCATGTGACCCAGGCAATGCCACGCCTGAAATACTCCCCAGAGAAATGGAAGCCTATGCCCACACAAAAACTTGTACACAAATGGTCATAGCAACCTTCCTCATAATGTACAAATAAAAAACCCAAACAACTCAAATGTCCATCAACTGACGGACAGGTCAAAAAAACACATACAGTGGCATACTAATAAATCAAGGGGAATAAATTAGGTTCTGATATGTGCTCCAACATAGTCACTCTCTAAAAACGTTCTGCGAAGTGAAAAAAGGCAGGCACACAAAACTACATGTTGTATCATTCTATTTGTATGCACTGTCTAGAAAACGCAAATCTATTGATGCAGAAAGTACAACAGTCATCATTCTGGGCTTGTGAAAACGGGGGAATTGGGAGGTGACAACCCAGCACACCGAAAAGATTCCAAAATTAATTGTGATGGATGCACAATTCTGTGGATACATTAAAAACACTGAATTATACACTTTATATGAAAGAATTATAGGATATATGAATCGTATCTCAATAAAGCTGTTACTGAAAAAAGAAAAAAGAGAGCAAGCCCACCTCCAAAGTTGGGGGTATGTGGAGACAGGTAGATGAGCCTCAGGGGCCCCTGCAGCCTCCACAAGGACCCACCCCTTCCTCTCTTCCCCACAGCCCAGCCAAGGCCGGGCTGTGCCGTGACTAAGGGCTGACCACAGGCCTACTAACCAAAGGAAATTACACGGAGAAATATGCCACCAGCTACCAGACATGGCTGCTTTTAAGAGCTCCCCATCCACCTCACAGGCCGCCCTTCAAGGCAAGGCTTGCTTTGCCTGCCAGATGCCAACTTCTCAAACCACCTAAGAACACAGAACAATAGCCCAGCTCCAGGGGAGACGGAGCAAACAAGCAGTTCCTACAGCTGCCTATCCAACATCCTTGGAGGGACCCATTTCTTATATCAGGAGCATTCTCTTCAGATGATGAGTGAAGCTGGAAACGCCTGTCCCTCCAGGAGCAATGCCAGACCCAACCAGAGATGTCACCTTTTCCT